CTTTCTCCTTAGATCTAGGCTATTAGATCTAGGCTAGAGAATAGGTTTTAACGAGTGTAAAAAAAAATAAACTACATAGATTGCTACTGAATCAAAATGTCCAAAAAAAAGTTCGTTAATATCACATATAATACTGCAAAGTTGCCAATTCAAAATCCGATTGGTTGCAATGGCTTGAACTATTGGTAGGCAAAAAAGATTTAAAAAAAAAAACAGAAAGAGAACAACAAGCATTAAAAAAAATTAATTTTGAATCTTTAAAAATTATTTTGGCCAAAAAAAGGAGAAAATAATATAAAATAATGAGTTTTTATTTTTTATTTTTATACCAACTAATTTTTGAAAATATTTTAGAAAACAAATTTGAAAAACTCTACTAATTGACACTTGATTGTGTGAGTTCGAGAAAACAAAGAATAATCCAAGCCTCTTCACCGCATAAAAAGCCATATTTATTTAGGTGTTTGGGGATGGGGGATTGGATTGTTAATCACAAAAATCACGTTCAATTTGAAAAAAGTGTTATGGGACTATGAAGTCGCTCTAATAATAAGACTAGCAGTCTCATGGGGGACTTTATTGCTTTTCTATTATCGCAAGATTTGAGATAAAAAGACTTTATTGTCCCTATTCTACAAAAATAACATAGTCATTTTTTACATAATGAGAGTTTTTATGTAATTTTATAGATTTAATCCCAACAAATTAGTATAATAGTGTATAAACAAACATAATTTGTTTTACATCTCTAATTTAATACTATTACATTTCATTGTACTGGTAATCTTATCCAATTTAATTTAACAAACAAACATGCCGATAAACAGTCTCACTAACACAATTGAAAGTGAGATTTGATAGCAAATAGTGCCTTCAACGAAATAGCACCTTTGGGTTTCATTTTTTTTTCATTACTGATTTGAAAATTTGAGATTGATCAGTAATTTCAAATTACCACTCAATTCAATTACCCATTTATTATATTGCATTCAGACTAAAATTTCTTTGCAAAAGGGAGGCGCCTATAAAAAGCCTATGTTTTCTAGGCCTTGTGTGGGTATCCAATGCCTATGACCTTTTCCTTCTATCATTGCCAAAACCATAACCAGCAACCACATAAAATTCAACATTTAATGAGATTGTCACAAATTTTAGAGCATTTATAGAGAGCCCCTCCAATCACTACCCCACAATTTCTACACACATGTGGCAGATGGTGATTGAAGGAGAATGGAAAAAATAAAAAGTAAAAGAAAAAGTAGCCAATCAAAAAAGAGAGGGGGTCAAAGGGGGTGAGGGGAAAGAGAGTCTTAGCCTATGTTTGGCAAGAAGGTTTGGGTGAGTTTGGGGCTAAAATAGCCACAAAAAACAAAATAGGCTATTTTAGCCACAAAAAACAAAACATCAAATCCAACCCCTAATCATTACAATCCTCTCTCACAAAAAAAGTCAAAAAAGCCAAAAAGCCCTTCCCAAACCAGGCTAAAATAGCCCAGGTTAAAATAGTCAAAAAGCCAAAAAGTCAAAAAGCCAACCCACTTCCCAAACGGAGGCTTAAACAGTTTTGCAAATTTTATATGCACAAGTAGCTCAATAAAAGTCCCACTTCCAAAACAATTATTCATTGTCGCTGGTGGAACACAATCACTTATGTCTGAGTGTAAAAAAAAAAACTACATAGATTGCTACTGAATCAAAATGTCCAAAAAAAAGTTCGTTAATATCACATATAATACTGCAAAGTTGCCAATTCAAAATCCGATTGGTTGCAATGGCTTGAACTATTGGTAGGCAAAAAAGATTTAAAAAAAAAAACAGAAAGAGAACAACAAGCATTAAAAAAAATTAATTTTGAATCTTTAAAAATTATTTTGGCCAAAAAAAGGAGAAAATAATATAAAATAATGAGTTTTTATTTTTTATTTTTATACCAACTAATTTTTGAAAATATTTTAGAAAACAAATTTGAAAAACTCTACTAATTGACACTTGATTGTGTGAGCTCGAGAAAACAAAGAATAATCCAAGCCTCTTCACCGCATAAAAAGTCATATTTATTTATGTTGTGTTTGGTTGGGGGATTTGGGGAGGGATTTGGAAAGGGAAATGAAAAAGGTAGGTGAAATGTGAATAAATCATGCCTATATTTCACATAGTTTCACACATCTTTTCCCTTTCTCATTCCAAATCCCTCCCCAAATCCCCCAACCAAACACAGCATTAGGTGTTTGGGGATGGGGGATTGGATCGTTAATCACAAAAATCACGTTCAATTTGAAAAAAGTGTTATGGGACTATGAAGTCGCTCTAATAATAGGACTAGCAGTCTCATGGAGGACTTTATTGCTTTTCTATTATCACAAGATTTGAGATAAAAAGACTTTATTGTCCCTATTCTACAAAAATAACAAAGTCATTTTTTACATAATGAGAGTTTTTATGTAATTTTATAGATTTAATCCCAACAAATTAGTATAATAGTGTATAAACAAACATAATTTGTTTTACATCTCTAATTTAATACTATTACATTTCATTGTGCTGGTAATCTTATCCAATTTAATTTAACAAACAAACATGCCGATAAACAGTCTCACTAACACAATTGAAAGTGAGATTTGATAGCAAATAGTGCCTTCAACGAAATAACACCTTTGGGTTTCATGTTTTTTCATTACTGATTTGAAAATTTGAGATTGATCAGTAATTTCAAATTACCACTCAATTCAATTACCCATTTATTATATTGCATTCAGACTAAAATTTCTTTGCAAAAGGGAGGTGCCTATAAAAAGCCTATGTTTTCTAGGCCTTGTGTGGGTATCCAATGCCTATGACCTTTTCCTTCTATCATTGCCAAAACCATAACCAGCAACCACATAAAATTCAACATTTAATGAGATTGTCACAAATTTTATATGCACAAGTAGCTCAATAAAAGTCCCACTTCCAAAACAATTATTCATTGTCGCTGGTGGAACACAATCACTTATGTCTGACACAAATGAAGGGTGAGAATCTGTTTGTGGCATTGCTATATGTGACGATGAATATGAATGATGAGAATGTGAGAATTTGTTTGTGGCATTGTTATATGTGGCGATGAATAGTTTACTTACACAAATAAATGGTGAGAATTTACATGTGACATTGTCTTATGTAACAATAAATAGTTTTTTTTTTTTTTTTTTTTTCACTTTTATGATATGATTATTGTTAACAATAAACAGCCCTAACAACATTTGCAATGGTATGTTATATATTATGTCCCTGTTAAAATTTTGCAAGAGGTTAACAAAAAGCGCTCGCCAATTGTCTATTAATCACCTGTCGAAGTTTGATAAATATTAAGGCCCCGTTTGGGGACTTACCTTTTTAGCCAAAAAGCTAAAAAGTTACCCTTTTAGCCAAAAAACTAACAATTTATACCAAAAAGTCAAAGATTCTCTTTTCTCTCTACTTTTTGCACATATTTTCATAATTAGCCAAAAAGTCATCCTAAACATATAAGTTTTTTTTACCTACTTTTTTAGTCAAATAGCCAAAAAATTACTAAATTAGCCTGTTCTTAAACGAGGCCTAAATCTTGTGTCAAATTTTAACAAGGCTTTCATCTTTGCCTCTCAAATTCAACAAGGCTTTCATTTTGAGTGTTGTATCATGCCAAAATATGGGTTTAGCATTACCAAAATGGCAATCATTGGAGATGTTCTACATTCTTGCTAGTTTTTGTTTATGAAATGTAGTTACCATCTTTCTTTTTCTTTCTTCCTTTTTTCTATACTTACGTCTCGTTTAGGAACATATTATTTTAGTAATTTTTTAATTTTTTATGAAAAGATGTGCAGAAAAGTAAAGAAAGCGATATGACAATTTATAGTGACTTTTTGACTAAAATATATAGTCGACAAACAAGACCTCTCTCTCTCTCACTCAGTGGTTTTTACATCATATAAACTCTATTTTAAAATAATTTACATAGAAAATTTATTATCAAAATAATGTGGCTTTGATGGTTTTGTACTTGAAATAGATTTTTTTTTTTTGCTTGCGTGTCTCTTAAAATCTCTCTTTTATCATATTTTTGCTTACATTAAGCTATATTCATCTTCGATAGGATGCACAAGCCTTCTAATTTCCAAATACATATATAGTAGTCCAAGTCCTACTTGAGTGCTTTTTCTTATTACCTTAGCCTTTGGATTTTAAATTCTAAAAAGGATTTTAAAATCCAAAAAGGATATATCAATAAAACGAAAGAGAAAAAAAATTGCTTTCATCTTTGATAGGACACACAAGCCTTCTAATTTCGAAGTACATATAGTAGTCTGAGTGCTACTTGAGTCTTATTTATTTATTTATTTATCACCTTGGCCGTTGTTTGGAATTTAAATTCTAGATATATCAAAAAAACATAAAAGAATAAAAGAGAAAAAAAATTTACTTTTAGTTTTTATTCGCTTTTTCTATTTTATTTCCCACCCCACCCCAAACGCACACCATAAATTTCTCATTAAATTTAAGGACCAAATACTACCTTAGGACTGAATATTTGCCTTTCTTAGGCTTTATTTGATAACATTACTTTTTAGTCTAAAAAAATTAAAAAGCCAATAACCTATAAAAAAAATTAAATATTTCATTTTATTTCTACTTTTTATACAATTTTTTCATAAAAAATCAACAAATTATACTAATTTTTTTTTACATCATATTTTTGTCAAGAAGTCAGAAGTTACCAAAAAAATTTATTTCCAAACGAGGCCTTAATATAACAAAATAACCCAAATTCTTAAATATATTCCAAAAAAAAAAAAAATTGTAAATGAGACTAGGTTATGGAAATTGCAAGGTAAACCCTACTGATCATGGGGCTTATGAGAACCAAAGTTGTCCCCATATGGGTCATATTAAAAGATGGCCATGCCTGAAATAATCAACAAAACAATCAACGACTTGCGTACTTTTATATTCCCCAAGAAAAAAAAGGGTGCCTAATTTACAAACAAAATCTTGCTGTCAGAGACCTTACCCTCTTTTGGGTAGGTCCAGGAAGCTCCAAATTGTTATTGTGGTACACGCTACACAATCAATCATGTCTTGCCTTACCTAATTAAAAACTTTAATCGCTTCTAAAACTTGTCATTACAATAAAAATCAGAGTAAATCTACATACACAACATTTGAATCACAGAAAAATATTGAGAATATAAATATCAGCATGATGATACACATCAAAAATATTTTAATTCGTTAATCTCGTCATTATTTTCATTAAAAGTAGATCTTATTATGCTGATATGTATATTCTCGATATATATATATATATTTTTTATGATTTAATTGTGCATGTAAACTTTTGCCTAAACCCAAGAAATCTAATTTTGACACACTATTGCCCTGTGGTAGAACATTGATATATTAGAGGAAACTCTTTGGATTCAAGGAATTAGATTCGCCGAAAAAGAGTCGAGAAAATTGATCCAATTGTCATAGTCTTCATCATTCTCCACACCCATGTGACTCCACTGGTTTTGGGAGTTCTTCACAATTTTATCGTTCTTAGCAAATCGTCCTTTGATACGTGGTCTACTATCAGCCAGTGTCTTTCTGCACGCATACTAATTGGAGAAAGAGAAGACGTATCAATACACGAACTAAAATTACAACTTTTTATTTTAATATGAAGTTCATAGATAGGAGTGAAATAAATATAGCGAAACCTTGATCTTCTTGTTGAAGTTTCTTTGATTTCTCTTGCTCCTATATCTCTCAATTCTCTCCTTTTTCTCCTCTGGACTGTAACGACAGGCCTTGCTTATACCTTGTATGATACTAATGTTTTCATTTGATAATGGGCTCTCTGATCGATGGTAATGTTGCATTATATTAATCCCCTATTTTAAAAGAATGAAACAAAAGATATTATAGAATAGATGAAAAAGTGAAAGTAAGAAAGGCTTGTTGGCATAATTTTTGTGAACTAATACATTTATACTATATTATAAAGGGCAATTTAATGTGAACCAAAAATAGGTGTGTAATTCTATTTTTTACATCAAAATTATTCAAAATGAAATCGCATTCACATTTAAATTAACATTGCACTTTATTAACCACAAATCCAATATGTGAAAAACTGACACTACATAATCGACGACATCGTATTTTAAAAGATTGGACTTGGTCACGCGTTATTTTATTCTTGAAATATTTTCTCACAATTTCTTGCATTTGGCAAGAAAAATTATTTTCATATCATATATAATAATGTCATCAATAAAGTTGAACTGATTATATATGAATTCAGTGGGACCTTCATATAAATAGATAGTTCAAATCTTTTTGTGATATTATCATGTTGTTGTCACATTTGACAGTGAATAATTATTCATTTATTAGGTTGTTCAAATTATGCAAAATATGATCTAAAATTGAAAGGGTGACATTTTGGTTTTGTTTAGCAAAAGAAAAAGTGAATATTTTGGGTAAATTTTGTTTTAATTGTATAAAAAAATATGAATAACTGGTATGCAGATTTATTTTTGCAATAAATTTTTGTCTTTTTAATAATTTTAAAAAAAAATTAACTGAAAAATAAAGTCGCCAAATGAAGCATTAACGTTGGTTTGACAGGAGAGTAGACAAAGTGAATGACTTGACTTGACACTACTAAACATGGAATCACTCGATGATTTGACCAAACAACACGCTTCCTGGTAGGTATTTGTCCAAAAATGTTAGGAATTCTATTTATTAAAAAAAAAAAAATTATTAAATATCCTACGTAATAATAATCATGTGGGTGTAGAACCATCTACAAATCATTGAAATCTTATGCACTTTTTCAGCACAATAAGGCATAATTTATGATTAAAAGTGGATTAGTTTCTATTAGTTTGAAAAACAAAAGTTATAGATCCTGAAATAACTACAATAAATTCTACATAATATTATAGATCTTAATAAAGTAATTTTTTTTTTACTACAAATGTGATTAATAACATTATCTCACTAGTAAAGTTTTCTGAGATATCTTTTCTTCGACTTTCTTAAATAATAATGCCATGCTACTCCCTAACAATTACCAACAATTACCAAATGAGTAGTGTTATTTAACTAAAAAGTTATACTTATTTTTTTAACTGATAGTATGTTGAAATATAATAATACTACTATCTCTTTCATATCTTCTATTATTGCCCACTTATCAGGAGCCTAAATTGCTAGTAATTAGGAGAGAAATTCTATTTAGGAGGGAAGTCTCATATCACACATGAATGTGGGCATATGTCTAGGAAATTTAGGTAGGGTCAATTTTGAAGAAAAGGCTCACCTGCAAATCACCAGTGCTGAACACCCTCCGCAACACCACCGGACTAGTCTCCGACTCCATCATCAACTCAGCCATCTTCCTATACCCATTATTGCTATTATTATTATTGTTGTTATTTTTCTGAAGCGACTGACTGCTCACGCTCCTCTGCATTAAACTAGGACTTGGAGTCGAGTAACTTGTGAGCGAACTCGGTGACCCGTAGCTACTGCACGTACTGCTGCTGTAACCGACTTCCGACCTCAGTGGCAACGTCATTGGGTCGAACTCGATGCTTTCAGCAGCAGCAGTAGGGATGAGCAGAGGTGGCGGTAGTGCCGCCACCTCGAGTGAGGGGAAATGGCCGAGGAAGAAGTCGGAGGGTGAAGTGTAAGTGAATAGTGAATGGCTATTGGGTTCGTACATGGCTTGTGGTGTGGTTGGTTCTTGTGATTTCTTTATGAGAATATATTTTTGTTTGTTTGTTTTGTGTGTGTAGAGAGAGAGAGAGAGAGAGAGAGAGAGAGAGAGAGAGAGTTAGATGATGAAAAAAGACAAGCTGGTATGGTTTGTACTTAAAGAAGTTGGACGAGTTGGACTCTGACATGGACGCTGACGTCATTTTTTGAGACTTTGTCCCCGCATCGAAACTCATTTTTGAAAGAGAAATGTTAGGGATTATGAAAAGTCTTTTATGAAAATGATCATGAAAGATTTGTGACCCTTAGATTATCTTGATTAGTGTGTGGTGCTTTATTCTAAGTCTAATCCAAATATCACAAATTTTTCATGATCATTTTCATGAAAGATTTTTCATGATACCTAGTATTATTGTTTTTGAAAAACGACAAATTATAAGATATCGTTTGAATAAAATGTTTAAAATTTTTTAAAAATATAAACTAAAAAATACGTTTATTTAGATCTAAAATATTTATATTTATTTTTTATTAATTATGACAATGGGATCATATACATTAAAAATTGTTAGCGAAAATTTTAAATTCCTATTTAAAAACTAACGTAAACTTATTTTTTGAATTTACTTATTTTTTCTCAAATTTATAAACTGCAACAATTATTTATAAACCAAAAAAATATCAAACAAGTTTTTATGAAATTTTTAAAAAATTTGTAAATATAAACTGAAAACTAAAAATGAAATGGTTACAAAACAAGTCCTAAGATTACAATTTTTTTTTTCTTTTTTAAAATGCAACTATGGCTCTTGTGGTTCTATAAATTACATTATGTCCATTTAAGTTTTTACTCGTATAATAATTTATTTATTTTATTAATAAATTATTAAGTCAACTGATAATTTTAACAATATTCACCCAAAAAAGATAATTTTAGCAAAGTCAAAAATATATTTTAATTAATAATTCATATAATGTTATTATTCCATAAGAGAGTAGTTATGAATTTTATTTGCAATTCAATCATTTTTTCTGTGTAAAATAACCCACAGAAAGAGTTCTACCCTTGATTTGTAATTTTTTTTCTTTTCTTAAAAAGGACTTGGTTCTCTTTTTGTTCATGATGTGAACTAGAAGCTGTGGTTAGGGTGCGTGGGCCCACCATAGATTTTGATAATTTGAATTGTTTATATTATAATATTTTTCATTTATATCATTTAAAAAAAAAAAAAAGAAGAAGAAGAAGATTAATTTGATACTCGTAAATTATTTAATTTATTATATTTGTTACCAAAAAAATTAGATGAATGTGGACAACACTCTTCAATCATGGACCTGAACTAGAGGGGAGCCAGATCCACAATTAGAAAAAAAAAAAATTAAAAATAAATAAATAAATAAATAAAAATTTTAAAAAAAATTATGAAGCGAATTAGAAAATTTCTACATGGCCACAAGTTACTCAAGTAGTATTTATAATAGAAAATTTATATAAAATTATGTGTTTTGTTGTGATAATCTCAATTATAATTTGTCACCAACACTAAAAAAAAAAAAAAATAGAAAAACAAAAAATAAAAATCAAGATTCCTTCATTTATGTTATGGTAAAGTATTATGTTTATGGGGATATATTTTTTGAGTACCAACACATGGCCAAGGTGACGCCGACGTGTCAGCCGAGATGCCACGTGTCTTGGTTGTTATGCCAAAGTCATCTCGTATAGGCCGAGGTTACCTCCGAAGATATCGGAATCCGAGATAAGCGGATGAGGGGCAAGAGTCATAGAATGAGAGAAGACTTCAGTTTGTATTAAGATAAGACTCTTAGAGAGTTTATCCTAATCTTACTAGGCGTCCAAGATTAGCAATAATCTTGAGTCCATAAAAGTTAGGCTTCTATTGGGTCTAGGTTTATGTTGGCTATAAAAGAGAGGCACCCCCATGGGTCTAAGGTATGCTTTTGATACTCAAGCTTGTGAGTTTAGCACTTGATTTATCTTTGAGAGATATACTGACTTGATCATCGGAGTGTCCCCGGGTGGACGAACCACCGCCGGAGTCTTCTCTTTCTGTTGCAGGTCAACCAGGTGCCATTTATTCTGCCGGTGCTCTCCAGCTGGTTACTAAGCGGGCAGTGTGGTCAGAAAATCACTCACACAATTTGGCGCCGTCTGTGGGAAAGAAAGAATAATAGATGGCCAATGAAAGAAAGAAGAACAAATGGTCAATGACGGACCGAAGGATCAAATTGGAGACAACGCTCCTGCTGGGAGTGGGAGAACACCAAAGACAACAGATCGAAGCGGATACTACAACGAAGATGACCTCCAAGTATGGAATGATAGATACCTGAGGAGGAACGAAGACCCTTCCAGAAGGGATGCAAAGACAGGGGACATGAGTGCTCCCAAGGAGATAGCATTCAAGTATAGAAGAACTCATCCTAAATGAGCAGATCCCGGATTCTAGATCCCGGATCCCGGATCCTAGAAGACATGATCTCGGCCTAGATGAGTAGGCCCAAGAAGAGAAGAGCTCAACCTGAGTGAGTAGATCCAAGATTCTAGCAGACAAGATCTCGGCACTTAAGTCCGAGAAAAGAAGAGCTCAGTGAGCAGATCTCAGATCCCAGAAGATAAAAAAAGAAAACACACAAGGTTGGACTGTAGTTGGCCAGGTTAAAGACCTTTTATAAGGTTCGCAAAGGAGTATGTGGAAGCCATGCAGGGGGCAGAGAGAAGAAGAATATGTTTAACACTTGTTGAAATTTATAGCAATTTACAAGTTGGTTAAACCGAAATCATTGTTTAACACTTGTTGAAATTTGTGGACAATTTACAAGTTGAAGTTAAACCGAAATCATTGTTTAACACTTGTTGAAATTCTGTGTGAATTTACAAGTTGAAGTTAAACCCAGATTATTGTTTAAACACTTGTTGAAATTCTGTGTGAATTTACAAGTTGAAGTTAAACCGAGATGATATTTAACACTTGTTGAAATTTGTGGACAATTTACAAGTTGAAGTTAAACCAAGGTCATATTTAACACTTGTTAAAATTCTGTGTGAATTTACAAGTTGAAGTTAAACTGAGATGATATTTAACACTTGTTGAAATTCTGTGTGAATTAAAAGTTGAAATTAAACCGAGGTCGTATCGGAAGAAGATTAGTTTAAACACTTGTTGAAATTCTTTGTGAATTTACAAATTATAGTTAAATCGAGGTCGTATCGAAAGGAAGATGGTTTAACACTTGTTGAAATTTTGAAAAAAATTTACAAGCTGAAGTTAAGCCGAGGTTATGATAAAGGATGATGGTTAAAACACTTGTTGAATTTTTTGAGAAAAATTTACAAGTTAAAGTCAAGCTCAGGCAATATCTGCGTACTTGCCGAGACTACTAGGTTGTCAAAACTTGAAATATGAAAAACTGAAGTCTTAATAGAAGACATTGAGAAAGTGACAAGTCCTAAGCAACACTTGTGAAAATATTTGTTACAATTATTTCAAGTGTTAGGACAAGGCCGAGATGAGCAAGATTAGAAGTTATGACAGAGGTATTTTACCCGAAGAGATTGCACAGTCAAGGTGTACATTGAAGACATACAAATTATTCTAAGTGTAGAATCATACAAGAGCAGAAAAAAGAAGACATTCATTCAAAGAAGAAATTAGAGAAATGCATTTAAAGAAGAAATAAGGCACTTCAGCCTGAATATTGAAAAATAAATTATTCAGAATACAAAAATGGCACGTCGGCCGGATTAAAAGCATACAAAGAAGGACAAAGTACAAGGTACAAGGAGTAAAAGAAGGAAACAAAACTACTCGACATCAATGGCAAGATATAGAAGACAGTTGGAAAGACTTCTCAGCACCCTTCTCAGCCTCGAGCTCAGCATCGATCTCCCGAAAGAGTTTGATCAAAGCTCTTCTCGGCGATTGGCACCTCGGAGTTTGAAGGCAAGGATTGAAAGCAAAAATCTGGAAAAAGACACAGAAAATAGAAACAATAATGTAATTCGTAATCAAGAATGGTGATGAAGCTATCAGGAAATCAAGACAAAAAGATTACACAGGTGTGTCAAGCCAAGAACAGTGGCAGAATTCAACAGATATGTGAACTGTGTGTATTCAAGAAGATGATTTGGAAACAACGGGTAAAACAACAATGGTGATTAACAATGAAGCAGAGCTTCTTGGAAAGCAACAAGAAATAAAACCAGGAGGAACAGTGGCTTACCAGAAAGAGGGAAGTCGGAATGAGAATTGTCGAAGTCTGACGACGGATGCGAAAATGACAGAATGACATAAAGCTTCACCGGAGGAGAGGAACGAAAACAGTTGTAGAGCTTGAAAGCTTGGTACAATGACGGATTTAAGCAAAAGAGCTAGAAAGAGAAAAAGCCAGAGGATTGAATGAAAAAAGAGAAAAATCAGAGTCAAGAAGACGACAAAGTTCAAGAATAAAGCCAAGTGCACAGGCACTAAGTAAGTATGTGAAGAACAAGAAAGTAATGACCCAGACACGATGCTAGCAACAGAAAACAGATATGGCAAGAACAGTGTCAGGTGTTCAAACAATTCAAAACTTGAAAACAGACGAAAATAGAAGACAACAGAGGGCAAGTAAACGGATTCAGAAGAGTTATGAAAGATTGAGCTTAATAAAAGAGTTTATGAACCTACTAAGAGAAATGAACGCCGATATGAAGATCACCGGAGTCAAATAGATGACTGGAAGTCGGGAACCCACCGAAGAATGTGAGTGGAGCAGTTGCAAAGCTCTTGGAGTTTACGAATTAATGGAACAAGAACCTCGACTAGGAGGTGTGATCTCGAGCAGCTTGGAAAGCATGAAGCTTAATACTTGACAGAAGTGGACAGTAAAGTCCAGGGAACTTTGAGGTCGGCGAGTTTGATCTCGGACAGAGAGGCACAGATAAACGAATAGTGTAGGTTCCATCACCTCAGAATGCCGAAGTAATAGAACCTAGGGGGCAGTTGTGGGGATATATTTTCTGAGTACCAACACGTGGCCAAGGTGATGCCGACGTATCAGCCGAGGTGCCACGTGTCCTGGTTGTTATGCCGAGGTCATCTC